AAAAAAGAAAGCCTGATAAAAAAGCCTAAAACATGCCAAAATAAGCCAAAACCGAACTTCTGCTTGGAGAGTAGAACTTTCCACAGTCAGCCTTGTGCTGCTCCATTTCACTTTAGAATCCTTTCTTGTCCCCTTTTCCTAAAGGTTTCATTTCTTGTTTCTTTCAATTTCCTTTTTTATCTACCTTCCTTTCCCTGACATTCATCTCTTTCTGCGCTGAGTTGGGTTTGATTTCTAGTACAGTTATGCATGATTTTGCAGATTTTTCTCACTCATTTTTGCTTCTGCCGACCATAAAAGCAGTGTAACTTCAACTCTGCTGAACCTGTTTAAGATCTGACTGCCACTTCTGTACATTATTGGTAGACTATGGACAGTTTTAAGTCAGTAACATAATCTGTCTGTGAACACCTGCTGCTATACATGTCATTATGTTCATGCCCTGAACATTATTCTAAAATACAGTTTTCATGTTTCTCTTCCAACAGTTTTTTTTTTCAAACCCAAGGACCAGCAAAATGAATTGGAGTTATCCAAGGTCATTTCTGTCTAAAATCAAATCTGTATTCAAACATGGTGCCCTTCTAGTGCATTTTGATTGGTGCCTGGATTATCTGGGGTGATGTGAGTGTCACTGGGGTCATGACCCCACAGGTGTCCTCTAGCCCACCTGCTCGCTAATGAGGCAAACACACATCAGTCATAGGGGGTCATTGAAGCCACCCAAACTACTGGTCACTTGTCCCATTATGGTGGTTTAATTGATTTCATTGGTCAAACCCAATAATTAAAATGTACTTCCTGGATTTTATACGTTTTGCACTTTCTGACTAGTTAGTACAGTAAATCCACACAAGTCTTGTTTTCAGCAGGGATGGTTTATTTATTTATTTGTTTTGCTTGTATGTCATTTTCAAATGAGCTCAAAAGAGTATTGACAAATTTTGATAATACTTTTTTCATTTCACAGGTGTTGGATGTTAGGAAAGAGGCAGAAGTTCTTGAATGCAAGCCATTTTGAGGACTGACATTCTGAAGCATGTACTGTAAGTAGGATAGCCTTTTCTAAGAAATACTGCAGTTTACTGTAGATTATTGTATGTTTGCAGGGACCTAATTTCATAGTAGGAGGCTTTTGCTGTGTTTTAAGTTTGTGATTGAAACAACTCATCAGCACAGTTTTAAGACAGGTCACGTTTGCTGTGCAAGGAAAATGGCTAACAAAAAAACGCCAACAATAGGTCATTGAACTCTACATCAATCCCCCCATTTGTGGTAGAAGTCTGTTCTGAATCATACGTAATTCCGGAAGCAATTGAAGAATCATCCCTGCATCATTTGTTCAAAGAAGAAGAGCCTTCAATTCGGTAGAAAGTAGCCTACATAAAAATCAACAGCTGCTGCAATTTGGAGCAAATGGAGCGAAGAGCAGGAAATTACAAAATTGTGGCCGGTGTACTAACAACTGTTTGTGTGGTTTGTAGTCTTACCTGTGTGCTAATTTAATGAGGGCCTACCAGACTACTGATTCCTCTCCACGCTTTTAAAACAGGCAACAAAAGATGACTTAGGTAACTAAAGGGTGTCTTTTTCAGAGGTTTTATTCTGATCGTTATGGGAGTTTTTGGTTTGGTCCTTGGTTTCAGTGATTTTGTACTGGGTGGGATGACATTTTCTGGAAATCCCAAATCCAGATATTAAAAAAAGAGAGAGAGAGAGGTGTGTTTTAATGGATGGGACGTGGCATAATTTGATACACAAGCAACATTGGGGCAAACCCTTATTCTTATTGATAAGTGTGCTGTAATATCTTTGATGATACTCCTCACATATAGGAACGAAGGCTAATATCTTTGCTGAAGGATCCTCTGATCTGTCAACCGCAACATTAACTTACTGAGGCCTTCTAAGCTTATTTGTGGCTTTTGTCAGCTGGTAACCCTATCGTGACCCAGAGAATAGACACCCATCCAAACAGATGGACAGATGCATGGTGGTCTTGCCGCACTAGCACCATATGGCGGCATGTCTTGAAGCGGGGAATTATGGGAAGAAAAGACAAAGGAAACAACACAAAAAGGGAAGAAAGGGAAGTATAACGGAGAAGACAAAACCAACCGACAAGGAAACACCTGGCTAGAGGTGTAGGGTGGACTAATTGTCATTAGTATCATTCCACTTTGAATGTCTGGGGTTAGCATTCTTGCACATTCTCAGAATTATAATCTCCTGTCTGTGCTGAGATCCATTTACATCGCTGCCCATCGGTTAATGAAAAAGTCCTGTCCATTGGCTTGAAACAGTTTAAGTGGAATCGCCGAGAACCACTCAAGCAAATAAACAAACAAACAACACAATTTCCTGAAAAGGTGGTGATGTCAAATCATCCACACAGGTGGCATGACCAACAACTTCTATTGGGTCCTGATTAGTTGACGTGTTATTGGATTAACAAGGTCTTAACCCATTAACTTCTGATCAGACTAGACTAACAACTTCATTAGGGCCTATTTGTTGTGTAATTACGGGCATTCCAAACAATTCACGCCTGGATTGACACCTACAATGGGCCTTATGGTTAATTAGAGGACCCAAACTGTCCCACCCACCTGAAGACTCCACAAAATTTAAACCTTGGGAGGCAGGTATTCATCAGGGGACCCAGGTCAACACCTGGGGTCAAAGTTAAAGTAAAAAATGTAATGAAAGGAAATGGAAAACTGACAATCAGGGAACCATGCATCTGCTTGGAGATTCTCCTCTTTCTGCAGTGACTTGTTCAGCTTCAGGGTGTAAGATGACACTTTTTTGGGGGGACACATTGGATCTTTTCCTAATAGCATTTCTTCTTACATGGACCAGAATGTATGATGTGAGATTACCAAGTTAAGGCCACACCAATTTGTTTTCTTGGTTCTCAGATTTTTTCAGAAAAAATATGAAGGGACAGGGCGAAAAAATAAAAACAGGCCGAGGCATCCTATTATAGCCACAAATGCTATGATAGGACCCATGAAGTCAACATACCAGGCTGGTTCAAAATTTAAACAATGATTTTGAACTTTTAATGAAACCACTGCATTGATAGAAGGAAAAACTGTAACAGCTAGGAAGAAAAGGACTGTCCTCAACTGTTGGGGGCACAATTCTGAGCATTTTTCCGTTGATTCTGAACCAGGATCTTTTTCTTAATCAGAAAAAAATGAAGCGGGTGAATCACCACAATTAAACTGGTGTAGCCTGAGGTACATGAAAATGCACCAGGAGGCTGGATTACTAGTAGTACATACTGTATCGTTAGTTCTTCCACAGAAATGTTGCACAAAAGTTTGAACCAACATCATTATACGAGCCTAGTATACATGGTGTACATTATTCTTTGTATTGATAAAAAAGAATTGATAGAAGAAAGATTAGATCTAATAAATTTTTTACTTGGCCAGCAAATATTCCAGGAACTGTTGAATTGATTCAAGGTTGAACAAGTAAGCAGACAGGTCAAGTTCATATCACTTGAACCTGTTAAGCCACAATAGCTCCACCATCACCGACCTAGAATTAGCAAGTCCACCAGACAGACTATATTTAGGTCAGTTCAACCAAAGCGGTTCAATTCTTCTGGTTCAACAATGGGCATTGTCCTCAATGAACAAAGCCAATGGATTGTACCACTGTGCTATCCTGAGTTTTAAATAGGGGTGCAATACAGGTTGATACAAAAATATATGTGCATACACTACATTATACCAAGGTATTGAATTAGAATGACTATAGCTGCTTCAGTGTTTTTAAAAGTTTTTTTTTACTGGTAGATGTGATCAGCATTTTGACAAGACTGCAGTACTACCTTCTCTGACAGGAGGCGCTACATACCAGGTGACACAGCAGGTAGGTGCAGTGCTCGATTCGAAAACATCGGTCAAGATGGACCGTCAGTGTTTCCCCTGCAAATACAGATACTACAGAAGACATCAGGACGACACTTCCATCCACAATAAAAAGAGGAACACTGCTCACGTTGTTGTATCCGTATATTTTGGCTTCTGAATGCCGGTATGTATGGAGGAAGTATCTGATGTGGGGGGCTGTATGGTCGGTGGTCAGTAATGTCGCACACGGAAAAGGTGCTGCACCCTTTTGCTCATCCCTGACAACGAGCTCATAGACGTAGTACGGTCTTCTTCCATTCGTTTTGGTCAGCACTCCACCCGTTGCATCTAACTACGCTATGTTAGGCTCTCGTGTGCTTGTGCCAAATTCTAACAGTTTCCTCCGACCAGAACATAACTGTAGGTGGTACAAGCAGAAATCTTTGGACGATGCCAGGGACTTTCTTCTGTTTACTTTGTTCTTGCTGTCTTTTGTGAATTTCAAGCAGTGGATGGGGTTCAGGTTTTCCAGGCAATGATCGGCCTTCTGACTTGATCTTCTTCAGCACTGTGAGGGAGGGTACGGTGTCCCTACATCCTGATTGGTAGGATTCTTCAGGCAGCCTTGCCAACCTGTCCAGGCGCTCTCGTCGAACCGGCTTGAACTTCAGTACTTCTTTTAATCCCTCTCTTTCTTCACAAACGATGGGTCTCGCGTGGGTTTCTCCGGGCATATGAAGGGGTATGACTTCTGGAAAAAATGGGGAAGGAAACATTTTACCTTATTGTTCTTTACATCAACTGTGGGCTCCACTGTTTTTCCATCCATCCATCCATCCATCCATCCATCCATCCATCCATCCATCCATCTGTCCATCCAACCATCCAACCGTCCGTCCTTCCATTTGTCAGTCCATCCATCCATCCATCCATCCATCCATCCATCCATCCATCCATCCATCCATCCATCCATCCATCCATCCATCCATCCATCCATCCATCCATCCATCCATCCATCCATCCATCCCTCTCTTCTTCCTTCCTCCCTTGTTTCCTTCCTCCCTCCATCCCTCCCTCCTTCCTTCCCAAAGTTTTTGTACCATCCCCATTCCCTAGTGCATGTCTGCTCTGCACATCCTGGATGCACCATTTTGATTGGCAGGTCAATATGATGTAATCATCCCCACCACAAACATCAGTAAATGAGCAGGTTGTTGCCAGTTGTCATTCATCTGACAAGGCTATCAGATATGGATCAGGATGAGGTGTGTATTATGAAATGTTGGGACCATTCCAATATCCTTTTTACCTGCTTTTTACCTAATGTGTAACAAGGCAGTGTTTCAATGCAATGTATGAGGAGCTAGAAAAACTTTTTGCCTCCCAACATCTGCTTGGAGAGATGAAAGCTGGCCAAGAGGAGAGTCTACAGTCTGCCCCGGGCCCTCCTGCTTGAGGGCCTGCATTTGGGGGTCCCAACAATGCTCTATGCTAAATTTTGAGAGCCGGCTATGTATGAGGGCCTGCAAGCCGGGGTCCCGACAATGCTCTACTCGAAACCTCTCGAGTACGCTTTACATAAATTCCAAGTGGCTACAACGCATTACGTAGAATTAAAATGCCAAATACGCTCTATGCAAAAATATTAGAGTGGTCTGTCTACGCTCTATGTAGAATTAAAACAGCCGATTACGCTCTACGGAAAAGGGCTTGCGGGTCCCCATGTATTACGCTAACCTCTGCCAGGAAGCCTTTCCATTACGTTTTACGATAAATTCCGTACAACGCATTACGTAGGATTAAAACGGCAAATTACGTTGAATTAGAGTGGTCCCTCTACATGGGATTAAAACGCTCTACAGAAAAGGGCATGCAGGCCCTCACTGAAGTGGCAACCCGGTAGAAGAAGTATACTGAACATCCCCTCCTACAGTTGAAGAATGGTCCTGCCCCTGTCAGCAGCTGGAGGCAGTAGTTAGTAAGTCTGGATGGTTCCTGTGTGGGCCCGGCCTTGAGAGGGGGATTTGGGGGGATTACAGGCGCCCACTGGGGTCTGCCGCTGATTAGCAACCCAATGAACAAACTCTGATCAACTTTCCTCCCTCCCCATATCATACCAACAGTTTGGCATTCCTCCCTCCTGACTACCACTGTGATCAGGCATTCTGATATTGTATTAAGCAGGAAAAGGGTGTGTATGGGGTACGTATTTAACACAAAAGAATTACTTTGTTTCGATGATCAGAAGATGATTCCTTTGTAAAATGAATCCAACAAAGTATCAAACCCAATTATTGCAATAATGGAATCTTAATGCATTCTAGACTTGATATTTTTGGATAGAGCTAACCCAGAATCCCCTTTCAGGTCCTCCTACTACATGTATTAGCAGTTCTTTGTAAGTGCATTTTCTGTAGATTTAGCGTGATTTGTAGAACAGAGGACAGCAGAGGGTATATGATGGGCATCTCTCCTCGAACATTTCATACAAATGAAGGACAATCAGTCTGAAGAATCTAATGTCAGAAGAATGAACCAGCATCAGCTTTAACCGTTGTGTAATACTGTATATGAGAGACTATAGATGGTAGTCTAGATATGATAGATTGATTTACATTTGTAAAGGAGACCTGTTAGAAGTAACCTTACATGGGGGCCCGCAAGCCCTTTTCCGTAGAGTGTAATCGGCCGTTTTAATTCTACGTAGAGCGTAGACGGACCACTCTAATATTTTTGCGTAGAGCTTATTCGCCATTTTAATTCTACGTAATGCGTTGTAGCCACTTGGAATTTATCGTAAAGCGTAATCAAGAGGTTTCCGAATTCAGCGTAGAGCGTTGTTGGGACCCACCCTTGCAGGCCCTCTTACATCCATGCCTTTTCTGAACTGACTTCTACAGTCTTTGATTATAGATTATTGCTCACTGTCTGTCCAGTTGTCTGTCCTGGAAAGATAATCATCAAAAGTGGATTAAATCCTTTATAACACAACCCATCATCATCGTTGGCGGTCGGGGCAAGTCTCTGCACCACTGCGCTCCACTTCAGTTGGTCAGTCATGCAGACCCACCAGTTTCTTTACATGTAGTTTGGTACTGCAGGATCTAAAGTCTACCACATCTGCCTCTGTACATATTCCGTTATAGTTTGGATGAAGTACCTGAATTGTTGTCCCAGGTCTTACCTAATACCTTGCAACAGGATAGGAAATAATACATTAATAGGAGTTTTGCTGCAGTCATTGTATTTGATTCTGACTTTAAAGCTCTATAATGTAAAAGATTTCTGTATTTTCTTTGTTGTCACAATGTAAAGTCAGGATTGAATGTTCCATGGCATGTACATGTACTTTGTTACAATGCTGAGGTTATGCTATGAGGCCATAGCTACTTTGTCTATTTGCCATTTCTAGTCTAAATCACTTACCTATTTCTCTTTGTTGAATCCACTTCCACACTTGTCATTCTATATGAATTTTACATATTGTTCAATTTGAAAGATAAGGATTGTACACTCATTTTCAATCATACATTTTACTTCAAAATTGACTCTACGTGCAGAAAAACTGCTTTAAACCTACTGCTCATTTTGTCAAATGGTAAACACAAGAATTTTGTAAAATGTATGTAAAAGAGAGGAAAACGCTGTGTAAGCCTGCATGACTGACATTCTGATACACTCTGTCAGTCATTAGGGACTGGCTGTACAATGGACAGGCTTAGGCCTTATCCAGGTCTGATCCCCTCCCCTTTACAAATGTTACAGCGGCCCTAATCCCTGCCCAGTCTGCACAGAGACCTTGGCTTACTCAGAGGACTGATGCCATCTCTCCACGGTAAGCTTGTCTTCGTTATGGCATATAATTAGACACTGGCACAAATCTGGGGTAAAAGAAATGCCTTTTCATGGAGGGTCTCCGAGTTAAGTGCTTCCTTTGACCAAGGACGTTAGATTGATTGTATTGTCCTTGCTTTATCACAGTGTACGAAGTAACAGGGATTTGATCAATATTAAACTAGCGTTACACGAGTTTTGCGCAACATATTTTGAGGTATATTACAAGACTTGTAGACATTATTGTGTCTTATGTTGATAAAGAAGTTAGATACTATTGTAGAGATCTGTGTACTGGTTCCAAAAAATACTTTATGTGCATCTAGATATTAAGGTTTTCAGTACTTGTTACCCATTTTTATTCATTTGTAATGGAAAATCTAAATATTAACCTAAGCTGTAATGGAATTGTTAAATATTTATGAAAAGGACTTACTTCATGTTGTATTTTGTATTATGAATGTAAATGCTACCATTGTCTTTAAGAAAGTACCAAGTATATTGTACCAAGTATTGTAATGAAACCCACAGGTCAGCAAAATGGAGTGATTTTAACCTGAATAAACCATTTATTCATTCATTCATACATTAAGTCTATATGACATGGTCTCTGGGATTGGTCTAGACCCGTTTTTATTTTTATTTCGCTCTGTCGCTTCATATTTTTTCCGATAAAATCCGGGAACCCACAAATTAAATTGATGTGGCCTATTAAAAAGTACTAGAAACCATATCCTTTATACATGTGGGAGACTCTGCAGATAAGACTCTCCCTATCATCAAATCATTGATTGATTGAATGATAGATGAATGAATCTGTTCTTTCTTTGAACTTTTGCATCACATATTGCACAGCAGGGGTCCTGACTAAGATAGAAGAGACCTCTAGTAGCTCATTGAGGTACTGCAGATGAGGCATCTTGATGCATACCCAGAGTAAACAATTGATTGTGAGCGAGGTGGTAAGTTGGAATCTTTTTGCCTTAAATTGTCAGTTTAAACAAGTGTATAGACTTGAGTCATAGCACATTCCAGTCAAAAAATTATATTTTGAAACGATATATCTTTATAAAGATCACAACAACCACCGTTATTGAGGTTTTGTATGTAGCAATGACTGTGCCATATTTATACTACAGTTCCATAGACAAGACATCTGCCGCCCCCACCCACCAGACCTCTGTCTGCATGGATCAAACCCTGCAGACAAAATATTATTCCACATGTCAGCTTTGGTTAGCTGATCAGGCCAGATGGGAGGTAAAGGCTTACCCAGGGATTCAACACAGGTAAAAACTTTCATTCAGGCCACACCAATTTGATTTCTTGGTTTTTGAATTTTTTTCACAAAAAATATGAATTATATGATGTATTATACACCCACTGCAATATTCCATTTCTTCTTCCAGGGCTAGGGCAAAATTCATTGTACCTGTTTTGTAATCTCCAAGCAGATGTTGGGATGCAAAATACCTGTTTGGAAATTAAAGGCGCCTTTAATTTCCAAACAGGTATTTTTGGCATCCGATACAATTTCAGGGCGGCAAAACTGGAAGTATTCTGAATAAGGCAATCTGTATGATATTGACACATACTTCCCCACTTTAGCCTATTTGACTCAGTGTTTATTTTTGGGGTGGTCCCCTAAAATCAGCCCAGGGTCCTTCTGGTAGCTGTTTTGGGCATTTTTTTCTCTAAGGATGGTGATATACATTGGAATAGAGTTGTTTCAACTCAGTATGTAGATAAGTGACTAGAATATTGACTTTGAAAAATCTGGTTTCCAAGCCCTATATACTGCTTTGGATCCCTGTCTGTTCTAGTTCTATCCTCATGGCAGAAGAGACAGACTATTGTAATGATGATCCCATCCCACACAGAGACGTGCCGTGCAGATAAAACAACCAGCCAGTGGGACATCAACAGTTGACCTTGTAAACCTCAGGATGTGACCTTGGAGGCGTGGTTCCGGCATCCTTACTGTCCACAGCAGTCAGTGGGATGAATTCCAGACATGTGCACAGGACAGGGAGTCTGCATGCCCTTTTCCGTAGAGCGTAATCGTCCGTTTTTATTCTACGTAGAGCATAGTTGGACTGCTTTACATGTAATTCAACGTAGAGCGTAATTGTCGCATTTTACGCAAAACGTAATTTACCGTTTTGATCCTATGTAATGCGTGGTAGCTACCCAGAATTTATCATAAAACGTATTGGGAAGGCTTCCTGAATTCAGCATACTGAATACGTAGCGGGCTCTCAAAATTTAGCCTCGAGTGTTGTCAGGACTCCCCCATGCAGGCCCTCAGAACAGACTCCACACTGCCAGCCTGTGTTGTGATGTAGGTTTGCAATCAGTTTGAAAGACAACAGGATGGATCGGCAATTTAAACAGGGTTAACCTTGACATGAACTTGAAACTGATGCCATTGATCACAGCTGTAAGTAAATTACTGTATGACTGGCAGAGTTGGGAAGGGTGAAGTCAGAACACAGGTGAATGTCCTACCCTCAATAACATATCATGCTGTTCTTAATTCTGACATGACTTTTAAAGTTCCATCTTTACTGTACAGATTCTTAGTGTCCTTCCAAAGTTTACCACAAATGTATATTCCA